TTTTGATGGGAAATTTTAGTAGTAAAATTTTGAAAAATGAAATTAGCGTATTCATGAAAAATATGATCAAAAAATAGTAATCTAATTTTTAAAATGTCATTTATAATTTACAAACAAGTTTTTTTAGAAAAAAAAGTTACAAAACGAAAAAAAATAATAATTTGATTTAAATTCGATGATGGTACATCATTTCAGGTGAATTAGAAAAACAGTCAACAATTTATAGCACAATTGTACGAATCGCATTACTAAACGATGAAACCATGCTTGCAATTAGCTATCTTCGAAAACAAATTCAATTAAATCTTTCTGTTTGTAAATATAGTAAAATTATTTTTGATAAGTGTAGGAGATGTTATGATTAGAAAAACAACAATTTTTTTCGTTTTTATTTTACTATTTTTTTTCTCCTCAAATAATTCATTTTTTTTAAAAAGTGAAATTTCATCAAATTTTCAGGAATTATAATAAAATTCTCGTTTTTATGAATATATTTTCGGCTTATTCTCATTGAGATTTTTATATGATAATTAATGTTAACTGGAATTGTACATGAAATGTTTGTTAGAAATTTTTACTTTTCTTGAGAATGTTCAAAAGTTTGCACTAAAAGAATTGAAATTTTCAAAAAAAAAAAATTAGCATGAATTTGAATTTGAACATTGCACCAATCGTTTAAAAAATAAATTTAGAATGGCATGGAAGCAAATTATTTGCGGCTTAATCTTGCTGATTTATACATTCAACTTGGTGATTATCAACATGCATTACAAATTATTGCATCAACTGAACCTTCGACATTTCGAAGTATTCTCGAAATTGTAAAATTGGCATTAGCTAAGGTGCGTGGAACTACCAAATATTAATGTTTTGAATCAGATAAATTCAGAGGTAATATTTCCTTCAGAAACAAAAATTTCTTTTTCTTGTCGAAATTTATTTTAGAGTGATAGCGAAGTAGCATTAACCTATTGCAAAAGATTGGAAAAGATAAGCGATACTGTGAATGAGAAACTTTTCGCAACACTGTTGAAATGTAAATGTCTTCTACTACGGAAAGAAACAGTTATAGCTTTGAAAATTCTACAAAATACTACGGTAAATTTCGAGAATGGCGAAATAACGACGGAAATTGTAAGTTTTTCTTAAATTAACGACGAGAATTATAAATAGGAAATAATAATTATTAATAATGGTAATAATATAAATAATAATAACAAACAATGATAACAAACAATAATAATATGGATAGTAATAAATAATAATAATATAGTAATAATAGTAGTAAGACAGAAGGAATGATAAATTATATTTCAAGATTGGGCAATATTTTGGTACTTTGAGCGAATGTTACTTGGCCATGGGACAATATTTTATGGCAAGAAAATGGGCCAAAAAGGAGCTAAAAATAGCAGCCAATACCGGATCATTGAAGTTGGAAGCTGATGCGTTAAAGTGAATAAAATTGCCAAATTTCATTTGTTTATTCCATAGAAAGATTTTGAAATAAATTTATTTCAAATTAACTTTCATCAATTTCCCGTCAGAAAAAAAATTCCCCATTTATCATAATCGAACGACTGAAAATTGGAAATTTATAATTAATTGAAATGAAAATTTTTGAAAAAACAAATTTTTCATTGTGTTTTTTTTTTGTTGCAATTAGGAATTTATCGAATATTTATCAAGCAATTGGTGATTATTTAAATGCTGTAATTCTATGGAACAAATATTGCGGCATTATTTCAGATCAAGGCGTTGGTTTGTTTATTTTGTTTTTATTGCAAATTTTATTATTGGGATATCGATGCACTTGAAAGTTATAGCAGAAGATTGTCACAATAAATTGTAATTAATTAATCAGAATCAATTTTACAATAAACAATTACACGGTTTCTAGGATTATAGATTATACCAGATTATTTCCATTTCATTAATATTATATGATTATATGATACGTACAAAAAACTGATGAGTAAAGTATTTTTCCAACAAAGTAATTAATAAAATTAAGAAAGAAAACGAAAATAACTTCTCAAACTTGCAGATATTCGCCTTAATGGTTTACGCAAATTAGCCGAATTGTATCAGAAATTAAACCGGTCTAATGAAGCTGAAATGGCGCTATTGAAAAATTTAAAACTAGCCCAGAAAATTGGGGCTTATGCATTAATGATCGATTCACACAGCGATATATATCAATTTTATCGAGCAATGCATAAAAAGGTAGTAGTTTCGAATGTGTTCGCTTTTCAAGAAATTTCAAAAATTACCTTATCAATGTTTGTCACAAACATAACCGATAATTAATGTTTATTTAAAAATTACATTAATAACAGAGCTATCTCAATTACCAGTTATCGCTATTTATTTAACCGATTTAATTTATTAAAATTTCAAATTGAGTAAATTCAATTGTCAACTTTTTATTTAAATAATTCAATTTATATCTACAAAAAAATTTCCAAATTTTTGTAAATAATTTTTGAAATTTAAAAATAAAATTATTTAAACTAACGTTATAACAAAGGGAAATAATTTTGAACATAAAATGTACCATAATTGTTGTAAGGAAACAAAAAAAAACAAAGTAATTTACAATTGAATTCAAATAATAAAATTGCATTAAAATAATAAATTTGAATTTTCAAAAAAAAATGAAAAAGTGAAGAAATTTTGCTTAAGGATGAAGCAAAAAAGTATTGGAATGAAGCACAACAAATATATTTGGAGCATAAAGTGGAAGAACGACAAGCTTTAATTGTTGAAATGAGTGGCGATAATTATTTCGATTGTGCTTTCTACGAGGAAGCCATCGATGCTTACAATCGTTGTTTGATGCTTGTGCAAGAAGATGATAATCTTCCGAAAGAAGCTAAAGTTATATTTTAAATTAATAAATTGTTTTCATGTCAATTTATTTGAAATTATTGGTAAATTTTATTTTATTTTTCCGTTGTTAAAAAATGAATTTAAAAAATTTCACATT